TGTTAAGGATAATGATGAAAACCAAAATGAGGATGAATATTCTAAAGCATGTAGTAACAATTATGATGGTATTAGTAATCATGATAATGATAAAGCGAATTTTAAAAGTCACAGTTCTGTAAGTAAAGATAGATATTGTCGATGATTATCATTATCGTAATAGCTAATATCACCATTACTACTAATGCGATAAGATAAACGTAACGTAAGACGAATGACAATGAGACAATAATTAGACTGTTATCCTATTTATTATTTCTATGCGGCAATTGCTAGCATGAAAAGCGTTCATCGATAGTGATTGGGAAAGCTCTTTACACGATTTATAGATTTACATTTCATTAAAGTTTCGTGATAATCATCGGGCCGTCATATCAGTTGTGAAGGTCGAATGTGTTACCGCCCGAAGGTCCTCAGTCCCTATGCTATTTAAATTAGGTAAGGTTTTGATTATAGTTACTGGGAAGGTTGGGCTAACTATTTTGTTTAACTAATTAGCAGGCCCGCCGATGTTTATATCCATAATAAATAAGGAAAGTGACAATCTCAATTAATATTTCTAATTTCCCGCTGATATTGTAACGTCCGCGAAAGAAATAGCAGATAAATAAATATAAATCAATTTGTCTATGAATCTATACGTATGATATCGTTTCTCCCGTCCCCAAAACAAAAATGTAATATATTTGGCGGAAATACCTTACTTTCATGCGTCATGTCATGTCTATTGTCTATCGTGAATATCTTTTATTTTGATTTCCAAAATAAGTTCTGGTTGAAAGAATTCTTCGTCTGTTTTCATTCAGCTCGAAAACTTCTAGTAAGACAGAATTGTACTTCCTCCAGGCTGGAACTGATACATTCCTTGACTTCTGATCTTTAGAACTTAGGAGGTACACTTTGTCTTATTTTGGTGCTGGGGATTTTCTTTTTTTTCTTTCACCGACATTTCATTATCACCAGACTTATTCGCCATTCAAGAAAATAAAAATGTTGTGGCCATACTGTAAGATAGAACTGGAGAAAAAAAAAAAAAGATAAGATGGGGTAGGATAGGGCAGGATAAGTTATGATAGGAGAAGAGTAGAAACGATAGAATAGGGTAGAAGGGGATAGATAAAGACAGGAGAGGAGAGGATAAAACTGTATTGGGTAGGATAGGGGCTGGGGGAACCACCTGGTTAAAACAAGTGTCAATTTCATGGCACACTTGTCGCTGTTCATGATGTGTGCATGCAGGCTACATCTGCACCTTTCGGTTGCTTAAGTGAAATTACGTTAAATTTATTTGTTTGAGTTGGCTATATTTGCTAAAAGACGTCTCTGCCATGCATTTGTTTACACGAAGAAAGCAAAGGTATTGGCTCTTTCTCGCTCTTGCACACACACACGCACACACACACACATATACACACGCACACACACACACACCACACACCACACACACACACACACACACACACACACACACACACACACACACACACACACACACACACACACACGCACACGCACGCACACGCACACATGCACACACACACACACACACACACACACGCACACACACACACGCACACGCACACACACACATATACAAACGAACGCACACACGCACACACACACGCAACACACACACACACACACACACACACACACACACACACACACACACACACACACACACACACACACACACACATATACAAACGCACGCACACACACATTCACGCACACACACACACATATACAAACGCACGCACACACACATACACGCACACACACACACACACACACACACACACACACACACACACACAGACACACACACACACACACACACACACACACATATATATATACAAACACACACACACACACGCACACACACACACACACACACACACACACACACACACACACACACACACACACACACACCACACACACACACACACACACACACACACACATATATATATATATATATATATATATATATATATATGTATATAAGTATATATATATATATATATATATATATATATATATATATATATATATTACACTTATATATACATACATATATATATATATATATATATATATATATATATGTACATATATATACATATATATATATATATATATATATATATATATATATATATATGTGTGTGTGTGTGTGTGTGTGTGTGTGTGTGTGTGTGTGTGTGTGTGTGTGTGTGTGTGTATGTATGTATGTATATATGTATATACATAAATATATATATATATATATATATAATATATATATATATATATATATATATATATATATATATATATACATTGTATGTGTGTGTGTATGTGTACATCAATTGCACGTATTCGCATATCAACACTAATTTGCCTGACTGAAAGAGAGAGCGAATGAGACAGGAGGAAAATAGTATATACTCATGCCCTTATTACTCCTCCTCTTTAAATCCCTTTGTCACAAAACGTGACAAATGAACAGCGT